AACTAAACCCTCATATATAGAAATTAATTATTCCACACACACACACATATTTATTATATGCAAACATATGTATATTTGGATATAGTGGCACTGTTTAACTAATGTTGACTTTTTCTACACGTATATGACTAGTCAACAACCAACACATACGTTCTTCTAAATAGTCAACCATGGATCGACCTGTTAAAATTTAGTGGATAAATTAAAAGTAGTTTGTTGTAATAATATTATATAAAATATGTAATTTTGACCCAATTGTTTTCTTTCTACATCCTTAAATGTAAATCTAATATATTTTCTATTATGATATAAAATACTATGATACGATTTCTTGGGTATCATAAAAATTCTTAATGAAACGTAAGAAAACTATTCTTTATTGTTTCTCTCCTTCCCTTAAACGTAACACTTCCACCTGTTTAAATAGCTAACTAAAAGTACTCCCACATGACTCAATAACTACATACTAAATAAAATATATAATAAATAAATAATAGACTAATTAAATATTCTATGGTAACCATTTTTGGCTTAACTAATTCTAAAAAAATTCGCTGCTCCATATAAATTAAAAATGATTTGGGTCAATTAATTTAAATGAAATTTGTTCAATTGATGTTTGATGTAATACTGATGAAAATGCATGTAAGTGCAGCCAAGTTCTTGGGACTCAAGTCTCCAATAGCGCACGCGCAGATGAAATCGGGAGCAAATAAGTTGAGGTACGGTTTGAACTTCGCCTACGGAGGGAGCGGAGTTTTCGACACCGTGGCGAATGTGCTGCCAAACATGACCACTCAAATCGACTTCTTTCAGAAATTAATAAACGACTCCATTTACACCGCTTTGGATTTGCATTCCTCTGTCGTTCTCGTTTCTCTTGCCGGCAATGATTACGCTTCTTTTCTAGCCAATGGTGGCACTAACCAGGTACACTTCAATATTCAAACCACTACTAATTAGAGTTCATTGCATTTAGTAATATTACCCATGTATTATATATATATATATATGGAATTGCTTAAACGAATGCCCTGTGTTATGATTATTATTATTAGTGTCTAAACCCCTATAAAGATTGTGTTTTTAGGGGTATTTTGCTAAAATTAAAGAAACTTGAATTATGAGGGAGTTTTTGCTAGTAAAATGACATTAAAGAGCATTTTTAACAATTAGAAAAAATTTAGGGGTGCCGAATGCAATAAAAACCCCGACAAATTAATTCATAAACTAATTAGATAAAAAATGAAAGTAGGGTTGGCTAAGTTTATAAATTGTTAAAAACAACTTATAAGATGTTTAAGAGCCTATAAGCTCTCTAAAAAGTCTTTAGTAATTTTTTCATGAACGATTTTAAGAATTGTCTTAAAAAATTAGTTGTTGCAGAGCTTATAAGATCTTCTAAAAAATAATCCAATCGCAAATTTTTATTTAAGATCTTAAAAAAATTTATAAGTTCATTATACGAAACACTTTAAAAAATTAATTTTAAAAATAAGACGTAACAACTTATCAAATCCTAAAACAGCTTATCAAATTTAAGGTAGCCATAATAGTACTCTACAAAATTTTCTGAAAAGTGTGATGTATTAATTCTCAGGGTTTGCAAAGTTTCATCCCTCGTGTGATCAATCAACTATCGATAAACCTAAAACGGATTCAAAAAATGGGAGCGACGAAAGTTATAGTGACAGCTTTGCAGCCGTTGGGTTGCCTCCCTCGAATCACACAGTCATCTTCATTCCATCAATGCAATGCCACTCAGAACTTAGCTGTCAACTTTCACAACCTTCTCTTGCAGCAATCGGTCGCAAAATTGAACAACGAAACGAATAGTTCCACTTTTTTCATTCTCGATCTCTACAACTCTTTCACTACTGTGATCGAACAAAAAGGCAATCCTAAAGGTAACTAATATTTTTTTCTATTCGACGCTTCTATATTTATTCTAAGTTCGGATTTTTTTTTTTTTGCAATTAAAGTCAAGCTCATTTGTAAATGAAATGTATTGATATAAAACAGGAAAGTTGAAGTTCGATACACCACTTAAGCCATGTTGCATGGGCATAAGTAGAGAATACTCATGCGGAAGTACGGACGAAAAAGGTGCAAAACTGTACACACTTTGTAGCGACCCAAAATCGGCATTCTTTTGGGACTCGTCGCATCCAACTCAGGCTGGATGGAAAGCGGTCTACACGATTTTGAAATCGAGTCTTGCGCAATTCTTTTAATTTTCGTAGAATATGTTTTTGCGTATTATATTGTACTGAATTGACTAATGATTCTGCTGATCAAATAATATTCATCATGTTCCAAATTTTCATACTTTAATGTAATTATTGGGTTCAATAATACATATCCATTGGTCCATTTGAAGTTTGCAAGTGTGACACTGTTTCGTTAAAAAACGATCTTACTAAGAAATGCCTAATGGGACAAAAATTTGGGCAAAAAAATGTACATTATTGGAATTGTTGACCACAACCTCCGTATTTTCGGCATGAGACATTTGACAATTATGCCGTCTTCTGATGTAGTTGCAGGATTCCGATGTATAAATCAACCACCTTGTCATTTGAGTATCTAAAGATTGTCAATATCTCAAGAATTTTTATCTCTGATTATTTAATCAAATGATTAATTATCTTGGTGAATGTTACACACATGCATCGCTACTTTTTCATGGTTATTTATATACTACACCTGGTGAATGTTACATGACTAGAGGATTTTTTTTTTTTTTTTCTGCGTGAAAGATCTAATCTATGTAATTTAGTGTAAGCCTTTTTTTCTTTGCGTATGTTTCTCGCCATCTTTTAGGAGAAAAACATACATAAATATAAACTAATTAACTACTCCACTTATATGCAATATAGTTGGATTAGAGAAATAAAATCCAATTTAATAAATGTTGACCTTTTCTTTTGAGAGGATTAATGTTGATTTTTCTACTTGTGTGAATATAACTCACTTGCCGTCCACTGTGATTAGTCGGTTATAGCCAACAATTAGATAGTCAACCATGGACCGATCTATTAAAATTTAGTCAATAATTTCAACCATTTGATCGTACTCCTATGTTCCATATTATTTATCTTTTTTATTTGTCCAAAATTATTTATCATTTTAGAGGTCCCATAAAATATTAAATTGTATTATATCAATTTTGCCTCTTACCTCTCATAATTAGTTAATTTAAAATTAATTTATGATGGAAGTATTTTAGTATTTACTATGTTATTTTTGGTATAATATATGCACATTTATATATATTTATATTATATAAATATATATTTTTTTTACCCCATTTTTTATTATCTTCTCCATCCTCAAATTATTATTATTATTATTATTATTATTATTATTATTATTATTATTATTATTATTATTATTATTATTATTATTATTATTATTATTATTATTATTATTATTATTATTATTATTATTATTATTATTATTATTATTATTATTATTATTATTATTATTATTATTATTATTATACCTAGCGACTTGGCTCCTCGTGGGAGTTGTCTCGATGCGGTTTGGTAGCGTCGAGGGAATGATGATACTAGAGATAGATCACCTTGAGTAGTTGAAGTCGGATGAACTGGAAGAGCTAAGTGAATCACTAGCTTACGAGCTTGATGATTTTGAGATACCTGCGATCAGAGAACACGAGCAAGTCAGATGTGTGGATAGCAAAAGTCGTAGATAGAATACGAGCAGTTGTATAGCTCCAATAATGAACGTATCGTAAGAAATGAATTGTCATCTTTATTTAATTTATACCAAGTTGGTTGGGCTGAAGTTACTTGATTGTAATTGTCGGACCCAAACCTTATTTGAAGGTGGGGCATCGGATGTAGTGGTCTTTAATATTGAGCCGGTGGCCCAGTAGGTAAAGAAATTGTAGGCCCATTGAGTTGACCCAATTCGACATATCCGTTTACTGACTGAAGGGATTTGAGCTTAATCAATTCAAATTTTACTATTTGATTAAACTAAATATTAAAAGAAAAATCACAATATAGTATTTTGAGTATATAGTTTTATTTTAAAGAAAGAAAACAAAGTAGAAATAAGTTATAATCATTTCTTTTTTTAAATAAACATCTTATTTTATTTTTTATTCGAATTTGTCACACTATCAATTTAATAGCCTAAAAGTGAACTTGTATTAAGTCATGCATTTGTCTATATTTAATTAAGTATTCGTTATATTTGCCCGCATGGGTGTAGCTCAACTGATTCCGGAGGTGGTAAGTTGGAGCAAGGTCCTAGGATCGAATCCTGGCAGCCGCAGTGTGGGAATTTCAACTCCAATGAGATTGGTTCCTTGTGGGCACCAGGTCCGGGTCCGCTACCTTAACGGGCCGTTGAGTTACCACGATTTACATTCCTCCATCAATCCTTGTCGGACCAAGGGATGGGGGCCCTGGGGGCGAGGGATTTCGCCTTTTTGGAGCAAGTATTCGTTATATTTTTCAATAGGTGGGGTTTATTAGATATTTGTGGATATTGAACCACATTTCTTTATATGTTTTTAAACTTTGTTATATTAAATTTGTTAATAATTTATTTAACATTATTTATTAATAATGAATGTCGCATTTAATATGCTATTTAACATTATTTAAATACTTATATTTATTAGTATTACTTTACATTGTGTCTTACCAATATATAAAATTATTGTTAGAAGTGTTATTATAAGTTAATGTGCTCCAATGGTTAGCAGCCTTAAATACAATTACAGGACACGGGGTATCTCATCCTAGACTAATCCACATAATTATATAGGTTAATATCTTTTATCTCAATTGTCTATTTCATATCTACAAAATAATTTTCGACTATATACATTTAATTTATTAATACTTACTATTGTTACTACAAATTCAGCAAAATGCAATAATTAAAATCCTAGAACCCAAAAAAATAAAAATAAAAAGTAAATAGGAAATTCGAAAGCCACCTAAATGAGAACAGCAAATTTGACCATAACTATCGCGTGACGAGTTCTTTGTTCATACTTTAATTTCCTCAACTTTAATTTACTTGTTATTAAATTATTGAATAAAAATAAAGAAGCACGTGCGATTGCTTATTCAGAGTAGTGCATATATAAACATACATTTGTCTAACAATCTATATATTTATCTTTATATCCATCTTAATATTCTCTCTAATGGAACCCTCCAATTTCTTCATCTGCTGCATTCTCCTTGCTTTAGGTACACTCTTGTGCTCTTAATATACTTTTCAATATTTCTACATATATGTATATATTCATAAATATAGTTGACGTAAATTTCGATTATCGATCGCCACATCTTTCTATATCCTTTTTTCTTTCTCAACATAACATATGCATAATGTAAACATGAGTTAATAAAAAAATGTGAGTGTAATAATCGATCGTCGATCGGGAGTTCAAGTCAAATTCGAGTTATCTAGAAATCTAGAACCATAAGTTTTAATCTGTTATGATGTCTACGCATCAACTTACCTGACCAAAAAATATAAAAGTGAAACTTTTTAAAAAATTGCATGTACTATACATAGGTATTTGTTTGTGAATATATCACTAAAAGTATCTGACTTTGCAGGAGTGGTAGGGGCGCAAGAATCGCACGAGAGATATAATCATCTGTTTGTATTTGGAGATTCGTATGCTGATACTGGAAATCTGAATAAAGGTTTGGCAAACTCGTGGAGGATACCGTACGGGATGACTTTCCCGGGAAAACCCTCCGGCCGCTTCTCCGATGGTCGTGTCCTCACTGATTTCATTGGTAATTAATTAAACTATAGCTCATAATTATGTACATCATATGCATACTTTTTTCATTGTGTATCTATTTCTTAATTTTCTTGCATGTTTCATCATATTTTTGGGAGAAAACATATATACAAAAACTACTCACACACACACATTATATGCAAACATATATATTTGGATATAGTACGTGGCACTTTTTAATTTTAGTTGACTTTTTCCACATGTATGAATATCATATCATTCACCGAGCCACTTTTGCATCGACTATGACTAGTCAAACAATCAACCCATACGTTCTCCTAGATAGTCAACCATGAATAATAATACTATTTAAATGGGTAAATTACACCTACACTCTCAAGCTATGCTAAAATAATTTTAAGGTCCTTATATTACTGGTAATTAAAACTACCCCTGAAGTAATGTTAAAAACTCTAATAGAATAAGTTATTATGTTAGGATTCTAACGGACTATTAGTTTCATGCAAGAGACAACATAGAGTTAGAGGGTTGACATGCGGGTACCCCCCCCCCCCCCCCCGGCCCGAAGATTTTTTTTTAAACGATTCTTTTTTTTGATTTATGTATTAGTTAATTTTGTACACTTTAGAAAAACAAAAAAAATATTCTCTTAAATCACCCCAATATTTCAGCCCCCAAGAAAAACTCCCTGGGTCTGCCCTCAGTGACATGGCTCTCCTAACATTTCTTAAATCCTTATTATTATATATAATATTTATAAATTTTCGTCTATGTTAGCAGTAATGGTCCCGCGCGAAACAAAAATAGTGCAATTTTGTTACGCCCAAGTTGTTCTTCAATGGGTGATATATGATATCTATCTTATAAATTGATACATCCACATCGATTGTCCACACAAAAGCCTCCCAATAATTTAAACGAAATTTGTTCAATTAATGTTTGATGTAATACTGATGACATGCATGTAAGTGCAGCCAAGTTCTTGGGACTCAAGTCTCCAATAGCGCACGCGCAGATGAAATCGGGAGCAAATAAGTTGAGGTACGGTTTGAACTTTGCGTACGGAGGGAGCGGAGTTTTCGACACTGTGGCGAATGTGCTGCCAAACATGACCACTCAAATCGACTTCTTTCAGAAACTAATAAACGACTCCATTTACACCGCTTTGGATTTGCATTCGTCCGTCGTTCTTGTTTCTCTCGCTGGCAATGATTACGCTTCTTTTCTAGCCAATGGTGGCACTAACCAGGTACACTTCAATATTCAAACCACTACTAATTAGAGTTCATTGCATTTAGTAATATTAACCATGTATTATATATGAAGAATTGCTTTAAAAATGCCATGTGTTATGATTATTATTAGTGTCTAAACCCTTAAAGATTGTGTTTTTAGGGGTAGTTTGCTAAAAGAAACTTGAATAATGAGGGAGTTTTTTGCTAGTAAAATGAGATGGGAAGCATTTTTAACAATTAGAGAAAATTTAGGGGGCCCGAATGCAATAAACTCCTACAAATTAGTTCATAATTAAATTAATTAGATAAAAAATGAAACTAGGGTTGGCTAAGTTTATAAATAGTTAAAAACAGCTTATCGGATATTTAAGAGCTTATAAGCTCTTTGAAAAAGTGTTTGGTAATTTTTTCCTCAATGATTTTAAGAATTCAAATATAAGCGGTTACAAAGCTTATAATAAGATCTTCTAAAATAAGTATATAATCCCAAATTTTTGTATAAGATCTTATAATAAGTAAAAAAAATTATAAGCTCGTTATACGACACACTTTCAAAATTAATTTTAAAAATTATAAGACGTAACAACTTATCAGTTCTTAAAACAGTTTATCAGATTTACGGTAGCCAAATAATAGTACTCTACAAAAATTTCTAAAAAGTCTGATGTATTAATTCTCAGGGTCTGCAAAGTTTCATACCTAGTGTGGTCAATCAACTATCGATAAACCTAAAACGGATTCAAAAAATGGGAGCAACGAAAGTTATAGTGACAGCTTTACAACCGTTGGGATGCCTCCCTCGAATCACACAGTCGTCTTCCTTCAAGGAATGCAATGCCACTCAGAACTTAGCTGTCAACTATCACAACCTTCTCTTGCAGCAAACGGTCGCCAAATTGAACAACGAAACGAATAGCTCCACTTTTTTCATTCTTGATCTCTACAACTCTTTCACTACTGTGATCGAACAAAAAGGCGATCCTAAAGGTAACTAATATTTTTTCCGACTTTTTTTTTCTATTCGACGCTTCTATATTTCTAAGTTCGGATTTTTTTTTTTCAATTAAAGTCAAGCTCATAATTTGTAAATGAAATGTATTGATATAAAACAGGAAAGTTGAAGTTCGAGACGCCATTGAAGCCATGTTGCATGGGCATAAGTAGAGAATACTCATGCGGTAGTGCGGACGAAAAAGGTGCAAAGTTGTACACACTTTGTAGCGACCCGAAATCGGCATTCTTTTGGGACTCGTCGCATCCAACTCAGGCTGGATGGAAAGCGGTCTACACGATTTTGAAATCGAGTCTTGCGCAATTATTTTAATTTTGGTAAAATATGTTTTTTGTGTATTATATTGTACTGAATTGACTAATGATTCTGCTGATCAAATAATATTCATCATGTTCCAAATTTTCATACTTTAATGTAATTTTGGGTTCAATTTATCTTGGGTTTTTTGTTTAGGTAACTGTGACTTGACATAATTGGTGATAATAATGTTGGTTATTCATAATCTTCAAGAATTCTTAATATAACATGTACTCCCACTTGAATGTCTGCTATCTATATTCTATGTAATATGTCTCATTGAAAAACCTCGGTAGGAAAATTCAGTGGGACAAAACCTAACCGAATGAGAAAATGATACATATCCACTGGTTCATTTGAAGTTTGCAAGCGTGATACTGTTTCGTTAAAAAAAAAAAAAAAAAAAAAAAACCTTGCTAAGAAATGCCTAATGGGACAAAAACTTGGACGAAGGATAAATGTACATTATTGAAATTGTTGACCACAGACCACACCCTCCCTAATTTCGGCATGGGACATTTGAGTTTTGACAGTTATGCCATCTTCTGACTGTCAATATCTACCACCTTGTTATATGAGTATCCAACGATTGTCAATATCCCAAGAATTTTTATCTCATATTATTTAATCAAATGATTAATTATCTTTGTGAGCTCTTCATGAGTTTTCACAGGATTCAACTCATCAAAATATAGATCCCAACGATAATGATATGTCTAATTGGCCCAACCCAATGGGCCTACAAATTATTTACCTACTGGGCCACGAGCCCAATATCGAAGACCACTATCACCGAGGCCCAATCACCTTCAAGCAAGGTTTGGGCCCGACAATCTCAACTAAGCTATAAATACACATTTGAACTCATTTTATAAGGTACGTCCTATTAACTGAGCAATACTACAATATGTATTCTCTGGACTATTTCTAATAGCAGCAATCGAAGTTGAGCGTAAGAGGGGTTTCCGCCGGATCAACCCCCGGCTTAGTTCATGTGTTCTATGATCGCAGGTACCTCAGGATCATCAAGTTGTCAAGCTACTGATCTGTTTTACTCTCCCAGCTCGTTTTTTACACCACCCTAGGTGAGCTACATATTAGCAGCATCATTTTGGCGCCGTCTATGGGAACGATGCAAACCAGATCACGTAGCCAACAAGATCCTCCTGAGTAGGGCTGGCAATCGGGCCATGTGAGCCGAGCCTGGTTCGGCTCAAGCTCACATATAATCGGGCCTCATTACTATAGGCTCAAGCTCACATGTTATCGGGCCTCATTAGAATAGGCTCAAGCTCGGCTCATATATTTTTTCGGGTTTCGAGTTTATATCGGGCCCCATTATTATATAATTGTAATGAGTAAATTTTTTTTTATAAAAATAAGTGATGAACAAGATTTACCTCCATTGAAGCTAATACAAAAAAACCCTAAACGATCATTGAAAGTTATTGGGAAAACTTGAAAATAAAACCAAAAGAAGTAAAAAAGACCAGTAACTCTTATTATTGGAATCATTTTATATTCTCAAATCTCGGTGATATGTTGCATTTGATTCATATTTAACTTATTACCATCGTCACTACTTAATTCATTTTATTTTGATTTTTTTCTTCGCAAAATCAAATAATCTTATACAGTCATAATTTGTATGTTGAGTCATAGTATTAAAATAATAAATATATTATATATTTTATTATTATCCTAATCGGTCGGGCCTTATTCGGGTTGAGCCATAGTAGGCTCAAGCTCGGCTCATAAATAAATCGGGTTTAGTAAAATGGCTCAAACTCGGCCCGGCTCACTAAAAAGTAGGCTCGGCTCAAATATAATCGGGCCGAGCCATCGGGCTTCGCTTAGGCCCGGCTCAATTGCCGGTCCAGTCCTGAGGCGTTTGCTCAGAGAGAAAATGACACAGCTAACGACCTCCCACCTCGTGGAGGCTCTGGCTTGCCACCTCCTCCACGTCCCATGGATCCGCCTCGCGAGGTTCAGGTGATCCCCCATAGGGACCCACCACTCGCCGATCCACCACTCCCTGCTCCTCGAAAGGTTCAAATAACCGAGGATGCGCTTCAACGCATGATAGCATAAGCTTCAACTCGCGTTGTCACAGAGACCGTGACCCAATATATCGCCACGATGGGAGCAAATGCTCCCAACGCGATACCAGCACCTGCTCCACATGTGGAGCCACCTATGGCACCACCGTCATCGACTCCCTGGGGGCTTACATCTGCCCCCAAAATATTTCGCTCGCCAAGGGTTATCGACTCCCTGGGGGTATACAGTACCCCCAAAACATTTCGCTCGCCAAGGGTTATCGACTCCCTGGGGGCTTACATCTGCCCCCAAAATATTTCGCTCGCCAAGGGTTATCGACTCCCTAGGGGCTTACATCTGCCCCCAAAATATTTCGTTCGCCAAGGGTTATCGACTCCCTGGGGGTTCACCGTGCCTCCAAAACATTTCATTCGCCATGGGTCATCCACTCTCTGGGGGTCTACTTCCGCCCCCCCTCTAACGGTTCAGATAACCGAAGAGGACCTTCAGCATATGATCGCCAAACCTTCAACAAGATCAACTTCTACTTGCTCCTCTAACGGTTCAGATAACCGATAGGGACCTTCAGCGTATAATCGCGGAAGCTTCAACTTGTGCTACCACTGAAGCAGTGGCACCATATATCGTCACAGCAGGAGTCAACGCTCCTTCTCTTGAGGCCCCACTGGGTCCTCAACATGATCAATTTCTACTTACTTCTCGAACGGTTCAGATAACCGAAGAAGACCTTCAGCGTATGATCACGGAAGATTCAACTCGTGCTGCCACTGAATCAGTGGCACCATATATCGCCAAGGTTGGGCATCTCACCCTAGTGGTTCGTGATCGCCTCATCCTAAATGGGGGGCTATCCCATCCTAAAGTTGGGCATCTCATCTCAAGGGTGGTACATCCACTTACCTTTCAACCCCAAGGGGTTTCACATCCCATCAAGTGTTTCACGTCCCTACTTCAAAAAACAGAAAAAAGGGTCTGACGCGCACGCGCGAACCAATGGCACAACCGTGCGCATCCACCTCAGACCATAGGTCTCGAGCGCCTCATCCTACAGTGGGCAGTTATCCCCATCCTAAGGTTGGGCATCACCCTTACCTTTCAACCCCTAGTGAGTTCATATCACATCTCAAGAGACGAGGTATAATCTCCCTACTCAAAAAATAGAACATCCCCAAGGGGGTGCACATCCCATCTCAAGGAACGAGGATAATCTCCCTACTCAAAAAATAGAACATCCCCATGGGGGTTCACATCACATCGCAAGACACGAGGATAATCTTCCTACTCAAAAAAAAGAACAAGAAGATGAAGATTAAAAAAAAAAAAAAATTCCAAGCCAAGCCGCGCGCCACCTTCTCCTCGGGGCGCGCGCAACTCAGGACAAAAAAAAACAAAAAAAAAACAAAAAAAACGAAGGGCGTGCGTGCTGTGCACGCGCGCGTGGAGAACACGCTACTGACGCGCGGGTCAGCAGAAAAGAAAAAAAAAAAAAAAAAAAAAAAAAACGACTAGAGGCGCGCGTGGCGCACACGCGTCAGCTGGACAGGAAAAAAAAAAAGAGGAGGCGCGCGTGCACAGCACGCGCGCGCGCGTCAGCTGACAAAAAAAAAAAAAACTTAATTAGAGCGCGCGCGCGCTTCCCAAGGCACCCTTGGATTGCGCCCTCCCACCAAATCGCGCGCAACTTTGCCTAGTCTCTACCAAATTGCGCGTAGATTTTGACTCGCTTCACCGAATCGTACGAGAATTTCAATGCCCTTCACCAAATTGCGCGAGCTCTTCAACGCGCCTACCAAATCGCGCTCGCTATCATACGGATAAATAAAAAATATTATTTCTCCACGCCACGCCAACGATTAAAGAAACACTACAACACCGATCTACTCTCGACACGATCCGGTACCCTTTTCGACGTGGCTCCCACATCGTCTCGAGACTGGGGGGCTTGCGAGACAACTCCCACGAGGAGACAACTCGCTCAGTACTACCCCCCGCAGCGAGACAACTACCACGAGGAGCCAACTCCCTCGGGTCTCATACCCACAGTGGGACAACTCCCAGTAGGAGACCACTCGCCGTCCTGCAACCCGCAGCGAGACAACTCCCACGAGGAGCCAACTCCCTCGGGTCTACGAAACCATAGCAAGATAACTCCCACGAGGAGACCACTCGCTACGTCCTATAACCCGTTGCGAGGTAACTCCCACGAGGAGCCAACTCCCTCGGGTCTCATAACCACAGCGAGATAACTCCCACGAGGAGACCACTCGCTCCGTCCCACAATTTGCAGCGAGATAACTCCCACGATGAGCCAAGTCGCTCGGTACTACAACCCGTAGCGAGACAACTTCCACGAGGAGTCAACTCGCTCGGTACTACAACCGGCAGCAAGACAACTCCCACGAGGAGATAACTCGCTCAGTCATATAACCCGTTGCGAGGCAACTCTCACGAGGAGTCAACTCCCTCGGGTCTCCGAACCCACAACGAGATAACTCCTACGAGGAGACCACTCGCTCCATCCTACGATCCGCAGCGAGGCAACTCCCACGAGGAGCCAACTCGCTCGGTACTACGAACCCGCAGCGAGACAACTCCCACGAGGAGCCAACTCGCTCGGTACCACAACCCGCAGCAAGACAACTCCCACGAGGAGCCAACTCGCTCGACTACAAATCCGTTGCAAGGAAACTCCCACGTGCAACCACCTCGCTCGATAATATTACTCACCGCGAGACAACTCCCATGAGGAGACAACTCGCCCGAAATTCACTATATAATCGCAAGCTCAAGTTAGCACAATTACAACCCCAGAAGCACTTAGAGATATTATGAGAATCCATATAGCCTGGCCAGCTTGATTACTCAAATTTATCTACTTGTTTTCGATGGGTCATTCATTAAAATGTGGCCACGGTCCAAACATACTTAAGACCCACGAGGTATAACAAGGGGCACGACCCCCATAAAAAAAATCTTGAGAGTCTGATCCCCTCCTCAAGTACATCACGCACAAGGCTATATGTAAACACATATAAGCAACACGTCAAAACATTGATAATGTCGAAAAATAACAACTCACACGAGGAGAATACTAGCTCCGTGCTACTACATTATCGTGAGACAACTTCCACGAGGACATAACTCGATCAACTCTATTACCCCAGAGACAACTCCCACGATGACATTACTTGATCCGTGCTACTACATTATCGTGAGACAACTCCCACGAGGAGATAACTCGATCAACACTATTACCCCGCGACGAGACAACTCCCACGAGGAGATAATTCGCTACTACATCGTCGCGGGACAAAACCGACGACTCAATTAACTTACATCGCGACAACTTGGTCGCGCTATGCACCAATGCGCATTCACGCCCCTCCGACACACGCTCCAACGCGTTATCGCACACCATCGACTAATACAATTTTTACTCTCGACACGATATGTCACCCATTTCAACATGGCCCCCACATCGACTCGAGAGTGGGGGGCTTAATGATATGCCTAATTGGTCTAACCCAATGGGCCTACAAATTATTTACCTACTGGGCCACGAGCCCAATATCGAAGACCACTATCACCGAGGCCCAATCACCTTCAAGCAAGGTTTGGGCCCGACAATCTCAACTAAGCTATAAATACACATTTGAACTCATTCTATAAGGCACGTCCTATTAACTGAGCAATACTACAATATGTATTCTCTGGACTATTTCTACTATCAGCACGTCTGACTTGAGCGTCGGAGGGGTTTCCGCCGGATCAACCCCCGGCTTAGTTCATGTGTTCTATGATCGCAGGTACCTCAGGATCATCAAGTTGTCAAGCTACTGATCTGTTTTACTCTCCCAGCTCGTTTTTTACACCACCCTAGGTGAGCTACATATTAGCATTTGAAAATATTCTTAATATGTAAATGAATCATTTGATTAAGAGTAAAAAATGTTTAAATCGATCGAAACAAATATCACCTTACGTAATGAATTTGACACATTCTTCAATTAACCATTTATCAAATGATCTAACAAGTACATAAAAAAATAACAAAAATATTTCAACGACCAAAAAAAAAATAAAAAAAATCTAAAGACTAACATAGTAAAAAGAATTAGAATAAATAAATATATATTCCAAATCAAAGAGCAAAATTGGTCAAACCAAAATATCCAAACATAATTTTATTTCGATATGAAATTGAATCCGGTCAAGATTAATCAAAATCCATTATAATTTATTCCAATCATAGCGTAATAATTTTATGCTAGAATATCAAAATCCTTACTTTTAAAAGGAATAGAGAAAAAAAAATAGGAAAAAACTAAAGATACCATTAAGAATACCATAAAATTGCAAGTTTATATTATTTCTATCCTAGGTTAAAATCTTTTATCTCAATTTTCTATTTTATAACTATAAAATAATTTTCGGCTATATACATTTAATAATTTCAGCAAACATGCAAAAATAAATCGTAGAACAAAAAAGAAGAAAAATAAAAGAAAAGAAAGAAAATCAAAAGCCACATACTGTGAACTTCTAATTTGGACCATAAATAACACGTGACAAATTCTTTGTTCAAACTTTAATTTCATTATTGTTCACTGTTCATACCCTGGAAACGCTTGATCTATTTATATTTAAATTATTTAAAAAAATAAAATAAATAAAGAAGCACGTGCGATGTCTAATGTCGAGTATATATAAACCTTTGTCTTAGCTTGCAATCTTTTTATCACAATTTCCTCTCTAATGGAAGCTTCCAATTTCTTCATCTGCTGCATTCTCCTCGCATCAGGTAATATATATATTTTTAATTCTATGTAAATTTAATTCGATTATCGCTGGTCGTCGATCGCCACATCTTTCTATTTAATTTCTCAATCTAATTAATGTACATATAATGCCTACGCATCAACTCACCGCGTGATCGAAAAGTATTATAATAAGTATACTTATAAATTGCAATATTAAAATTTTATTGAAAATTCGAATTATCTTCTTAAATGAAATTTGCAGGAGTACTACTCGTAGGGGCGCAAGGTTCGAACAAGAGATATAATCATTCGGACAAGAGATATAATCATATGTTTGTATTTGGAGATTCGTATGCGGATACTGGAAATCTGGATAAAGGTTTAGCAAGCTCGTGGAGGGAACCGTATGGAACCACTTTCCCGAGAAAACCCTCCGGCCGCTTCTCCGATGGTCGTGTCCTCACTGATTTCATCGGTAATTATATTATTAATTAAACTTATAAGCTAACTCGTAAAATCTTGCGTTTGTTTGTGCCGTTGATTAATTACTCCGTCGTGATTTACACACATGCATCACTATTTTTTTTCATGGTTATTTCTATGCTACACCTAATGAATGCTACATGTCTAGATGATTTTTAATCTGTGTGAAAGATCTAATCTATGTAATTTCGTGTATGCCTTTTTTATATTGTGTCTCTTTCTTGCTAT